TTCTGGCCTCAATTTTACATGAAAACAAGTTTAAGACAGATAAATTAATATTCTTATTTGTCACAAATTGTAACTAATTTTAGAAATAATCTGACAAACATTAAACTTTATTTTGAATTTCTTGTGTATTTCACAAAAACAGATGTATTTATTTATTTTTTATTTATTTATTTAACAGTAGCAACTGGTTTGGCTCTTATTCCAGCCAGGTTTTTGAGGTACAATGCCAGTGTAGTTTCTGCTGTAATTACTCACACTTACGCACTTACCTATACGTTTGGGTAAATTCCACTGTAAGCTGAACATTATGTCCCTTCTTAAGAATAAAAGCAAATCAGAAGCTGGCAATGACTGACCAGTATCAATTTTAAACACCAAGACGTGTCTGCATCGTATGCTTGAGCAGGCTGAGGAGTATTTAGTCAGACACAGTCTGTTGGATGAGTTTCAGTCTGGCACCCAGCAGAATGCTCCACTGACACCTGTTTCATTCATCTGTTGGATGATGTTAAACAAAACCTCCGATCTCTTGATTTGCAAACAGCCTTTTACACTGCATTTGGACATCCTGCTGTATTTTACATTTACTGCTCACTGTTTCCACTTTCTTAAATTTCAGTATTTCAGTTTTTTGCTTTCTTTATTTTTTTTTTTAACTTCTTTTTGGTAGAAAATGAAATGTCTTTGGCTTGTACAAATTTGGGGATGTCATCTTGGGTTTGGAAAACAGACTTCTCATTATTTTCTGACTTTTATAGACCAACCAAGTCATTGAATATTGACAGGTTAACTGGCACTGAAAATAATCATTAGCCCTAGACCTAACTATGTAACTACAACGTTGCTTATGCATTTTTCATTCTTAAAATATATAATTTGTCTGTAAATAACACCAAATATCTGCAAAATGATATTTTTTGTTGATTCAAGTATTGTTAAAAAAAATAAATAAATAAATAAAAGAAGTTTATTTTATGGTCATAGTTTGTAAATGAACAAATTTGTGAAAATACAGATTTCTGATGTCCATTAAATGCTTTTTATCTATAATTTTAATAGCTTGTATGGAGCAAAACACAATCCAGATTCCAGACAATAGACAGATTAATTGAGAATGAAAATGATAATTAGCTGCAGTTTCAAACTTAGACACATGGACAAAATTGTTGGTACGACTCAGTTAATGAAAGAAAAACGGTCACAGAAATAACTTGAATCTGACAAAAGTAATAATAAATAAAAATTCTATGAAAATGAACCAACGAAAATCAGACATTGCTTTTGAACCGTAATTTAACAGAATTATTTAAAAAATAAACTCATGAAACAGGCCTAATAATAATGTGATAATAATGTGACCTGCTTTTTGATACTGCTGCCTCGCTGTGGTACAATCTACAATCATCCATCCAGATGTGTTATGTGAAGCTTTTAGAAATCAGGATCTCTTTGTGGAACGCAGACCTACATTGTTTTTTGTTGCAAAGGACACACATCTCATCCGTTAGATTGAGTTATGGTGTAATGAATAAAATCAATCAATGAACTGTCAACATTGAAGTCTAGGATACCAGATGACTTGATTCCTAGGATGTAATCAAGTCCCTCTCTCAAAAGTTAATAAGAAGATAAAGCATTTGAGTTGATCTTACCTGTAATGGGCAAGAGCAGCATTGGGTCCACTTGCAGAGATAGTTTCAAAGCTCGGCCCTCTGCTGTCTGCCTGTTTGCTGAAATGATGTCGATATTAGCTGTTAGATAGAAAGATACTCTCTCTATAATCTATATATTGTCATTTCAAGGTAACAGCACACAGGTCCTGCATGCCAGTCCTCCCTCACCTTGCGTGTGCTCTCACCTGCGACACTTGTTAACATATTCTGAAGCAGACAGCTCACTCTCAGTCCCCTTTGGAACAGCCCTTTCCAGCCACATCAGCAGCTGGATGACGGCGACTGCATCCCTCACCTGCACAGAGTCGCAATGACACGCTAACCAGGAGAGTCTCAGCATCAGTCACAAAACGGCAAAACAGACAGAAACTTTACATGATACCATTCGGACATCTTTGGACAGGGTGACAAATGTATGAAGGTGTGTGTTCACTGAAGTGTTCAACCTATCGATGAAAACCATTAATAAATGCCCCAGTAGTTTGACAGTAAAGAGTTTTTTTTCTTTAGTGGTGTGTACAGGTGCTCATGTATATGTACACATGGTGTTGTGTACAACCTGTGTATGTGTGTGTGCGGAGGACGTACGTGAGCATCTCTCAGTATTCGCTGCTCGGTCTCATCTTTCACTGCTTTAGTTGTCAGCACAGGAGAGTAGGAGCTTGTCATCAGTTTGTCCTAAAGGGAAATAAAAGATTATCATTGTAATGAATATTAATAAGAAAAACATATTGTTCTGTAATTCCTGTTACTGGAGAAGCCTTGTCCTCGACTTCTCCCCCACTTTCCCACGCTATATGAATTATTGCTATCAAAAGCTAAATGGTTGGAGATATTCAAATAAAAGGTTCAGCGTGTTACAATAAACTGCTTTTAAAATAATAAATTCTGGCATATGGTCACCTTATAAAAATGTCACAGCAAACCTGTTACTCAACAGAAATTGACTTAGACGAGCAATTCCAGTCATAACGATGAAAAAATAAACAATACAACTTCTCCTTTTAGTTCCTTTTAACAACTCGTGAAGAGAAGTGTTCTTTTTTTTTAAGCTTCTAAAAGCTCTGTGGTGTTCACACGCCAGTAGTAAAGTAGCTAACTTGTCTGTCAGCTGCTGTTTCTGGCTGAACAAAATTTATCTGAGCTTTTTTTGTTGTTGTTACTAGAAGCACTTGATCACTGAAATCATCTAGACATTAGGCATAAAGCAAAAACAATGAGCTTAGAGACATAGTGAAGTGGCAGTTAGAGCATCTCTATCCTCTGCAATGTGTCATAATATATCCATGTAAAACAAAATATGTCAGGTTTGGGGAGATTTAAATCCTTTAAATGTGGTTGGATCTCTAAATATGCCTTAGCAGTACAGAGCTAGGTTGGGTTGTTGGACTTGGAGGAAGAGGTTTAAATGGTCTTTATACTGAACAAATACAAATACAGCATGTAACATTGAATTTCATTCATTATTTTTTAACAAAGGGAAATAAATGCATCTCTACAACAGAATGGACGTCATGACACAACCAAGTACGCAGCATATAGGTAGTGATAATGATGCAGAGAGTTATTGAGGTTGTCAGTGGAACATTGTCTCCCTCTTGCTGAAGGAGTTGGTGAAGTTTGTAGACGGTTTAAGGAACAGGATCATATTGTTGGATACGTCCATCCACAGCTGTTTCAAGTTATTTCTCAGACGACAAATGGCTGAGTTATGGACATTCAAGTGCCAACACCCAGCATACCAGCAGCCTGTTCTTGTCTTTCTCTTGTCATCTGTGGCATCGTGTTATTTGAAGAAACGTGCACTTAAGGTGCCTTTTATAGCCGCTGGTCAAGGGAGTGTCCGTGCCGTGGTCAAACTATCTGATCATCGTCCTTCAAAGCCACACCCAAGTACAGTGAGGATTAACTCAGTGGTGAGAAGTTTGTCACCAGTAGAACAACTTCTCCTCGTACACAATTGGCTAAACTGTACCCTTTTCTAACTGCAGCAATAGAAACGAGACCATTTGTATGCTGCGTTTACATTTTAGTACCGTGTAACAAGACAGCAATGAATAATTAACACACACACACGAGATAAGAGCATGGAAAACGTGTCTTTTTTCATTTCACTGTGTTCTTTAAAAGTGCTGAAACGCTCTGTGGAGCCGAGGGAAACTGAGCTCAGCAACAGTCTGGTGATAACTCTTTCACATTACACAGCCACACAGTCATTACACTGTTTGTTTAAAAAGCATCGATTAGTGCAGCTTTAATCAAAAGTATTGATCCGAGCAACTGCAGACAGGTATTGACTCTCTGTGGATGCATTCATTAAGTACAGTGAGGACAAAAATAACCCACAACACGAAGAGAGGATGACATGATGTCTGCATACCTGAGGTGTAATGATCTCATAAAGTGCGTAGTTTGTGTACTCTGTACCGATCCACACTTTAACTCCGGGCTGGGCCACATACGTCTTCAGGTCAGTGAGGACAGTGTCATAGGCTTTCAGCTGGACACACAGTGGCCCGTTACAGGAGGCGTTCAGGTACACCTTCAGCTCCTCAGTCACTCGGTCCATGTGGAGAAAGACCCTGACAGATGTGACAGGAATGTACAAGAAATGCTCTGTGCCCTTATGCTTAATAATATAAAAGCACTGACAATAGGCTTGTGTCTAGCATTTGTGTCGGGAGTTAAAGGACATAAGGAAGAGAAATAAAAAGGAATTCAATTCATTCACATACAACCCATGGAAAATGAGCTTACCAGATCTCATCCATTGTGAGAAGTGTGTAGGAGTAGAAGAAGGGATTGTAGGGAATGTCGTTGCCTCGCATATTGAAAAGCCCTGAAACACAAAAATATACGACATCTCAGACTGTCGGCAGCAGCTCGCGGATTCATTTACATCTTCTGTGAGGCCACGAGGCGCATTCTGCATCTATTGTTTGCGTCTGACGTACGTGACTTTCTCTGTGTCCCTGTCATCATAAACAGACTCACTAATTCTGAAATCAGAAGTCGGTGTCAGGATTGGTTTGATGAACAGCACACCTCCTGCGTGGGTTTGAAGGAAGAGGCCTCGGAATAATCCACTGTTCATTTCCAAGACGCTGAGCTGACAGTCAAGTGTACTCTGCTACAATCCTGCTTCATACTTTGCCTTTCACTGGTTCAATCTATTCAGGTAAATAAGTTGCCACTGATCATAATGGATCATAAAGTTCAGTGGATGGATTATACAAGTTATAGTGAAAAGTAGTGACGCATGATTTTAAAATTTCTGGCCCATTCCAATATCTGATATTAAGATTTCTGATATCACTGATAACTAATATTACTGATGTCGACATTCAATTTTTGTTCACACCAAAAAATGAGTAGAATAGAATAGAATAGAATAGAACTTTATTGATCCCTTTGGTGGAGACCTCAGGGAAATTGCTGCACCAGCAACAACAACCATATAAGTATAAGTAAGCACTGTGAGAACGTGGAAACTACTCAAAAGAAGCCTGTGCCAAATTAAACCACATAGTCTTCTTTATTACGTAACAAAAGTAAAACATATCTAAACACATTTTAACATTCAAGTCCAGGACCATTTAAATAAAAACATCTGTGAAATAGCAGCAATATCAAATGTAGAGCTGAAGGTGCTAAGGTTAGACAATCATTGGTTTTTCACATCGGCTGTATTTGTTCATCAGACCGATACCGATATATGGGAAAAAACACTAATATCGACCGATATGTAGTCGCCGATATATCGTGCATCCCTAGTGAAAAGTCATGTCTTAGAAACAGTATTAACCCTTCATTTAAAGTGTAATGTTTCTTCTACTTTGACATGCTTGTACACATATTTTAGCAACTTCTGCAGGTAGTGGCTGTGTATCTGTGTTTTTCTCTATACACTGAATAAACCTGTGGGTTCATTTTTCTTAAATTAATTTGGTAATATTACTATATTTGTCTTTTAAAACATGTTTTTTTATGCTCTTGTTATGAATTTCCTTCTTTTAAGTCTTTTTGATGACAACATTTATACAAAACTATGACTAGAGATGACTTATTACTAAAGCTAGTTAACAGCTAGCTACTAGTCCATGCAACTTTATGCTTCAAAAGTTACTTTTTAAATTTATTATTATTCATTTTTTTTATTCTTGCAAGAAAATATCAGAAATGTTCTTGTTCCTCTCAGCCAGCATGAGGATGTCTGTGTTTTGCTGAGAGCAGCTGGCCGGCAGCCAAAGTGTTGGTGTTACACCTTCAGGAACAAGCAGACAAACGTGTCACTGAGAGGCAACACGGTGTCAGTGCTACTAAAGACTGAGGACCACAACAACATCTAACCAAATCTAAGTGACATCTGCAGGTGGGTTTACAAAAGCATAAAAACAATTACACGTCATCTAGACTTGGAAATAAACTGATATGTCCTTTTTTAAATCAATACTGACACATTGTTCTGTACAGTTAAAATAATTTTATAATGTTTAATCAGTTGCTTGAGGGCAATTAATTGCTGTTTATGTAGCGGTGAAGAGCTACTATGAACTGCAATGACTATGTTCACATTAGAGTAATGTATTTATATGATGCTCATGTGGGTTCAACTACTTACAGGCCGTTTCATCGAGTGCTGAGAGCAGAAGAGCTGTGGGCTCATATGGATTGTCCCTCATCTGATTCCGTATGTGCCCCACTTTTGTCTGCCAGGACCTTTCTGCAATCAGACACACGGCACTTTTATTTACATGCAGTGACAATAAACACTCCATTCTCACTTGTGTTGGACATTTAGTATCTTTGCTATAATTCACATTAAACCCGCATGAATGGGAAAACACGTCTCTGACATAATATCACTTTCTAAAGTTGACAAACTGAACTTCTTAGCAAACATTTGTCTCTTTTCACACCCAGACATTACGGAGCGACACTATCATAAATCTAAGTCCAACCTTGTCTCTCCTTTTAGCTCTGTTTTGGTCTCCACCAACTTCTGATGGAAATATTGAGCCATTAAGCTATTAATCACTCCACTGTGTTCACCAGACAGTGTCTCAACTTCGTCTGCAGCCTGGAGCCAGGGACATACGCGGGTTCATCAGAGCATATTTGCTGTAAATGAGGTTCATGAGAGCAAAGCAAAACAACACCTAATTGCTCCTTAAAGCTGAGAGTTGATAAAGTAAATTTACTTAACTAAGAGCAGCCTCACTTATTTTACACATCTGGCAATTGTTGTTCATATAAAAATATTGATTAGTACAGTGCTAAGGATGTGAACAGTAGTTCCTTTTGTGAATGTGATGCTTCCTACTAAGTGCAGACGCACATCAGTGCTTTTCCGGTGACTTTGCCCTTTTCTTTGACATTGCTGTCATCTGTAAACTTCTCATTACTTTATGGGCTCCACTCAGACAGTCAGCCAAGTATAAAAACAAGCTTTCATATCCAATCTACTAGATAGCGTTCATAAAAGACTCAGTTATTGCCCTGTACGGAAGGCTTTTTCCAGATTATATTCAAATGTATACACACACACAGACCATTAGGTTTATGATGCTCTCCATTTGTTCCATTTGTCCATTCTCCGACCATAAAGACTAATAAGGCCCACGGGCGTCCTGAAGACTTCCTTTTTCCGGAGTCTTCGCCAATCTGTCTAAGTTAGCATTTGATCAATCAGCCAGCCATAAAAATATGAACTGGAGCTGCTTGTTTCTCTCTGTCCAGTTTGCAGGTATTTATCAGCACATTGATAAAAGGCACCACACAGATAGACCAGCAGACTGCAATGTGTGCATACAACACACACACACATATATAAGGAAACCCACGTATGACTCTGTCCGGCAGCCGCGAGAGGTTGTCAGGTGGGATGGCCGGTCTGTCCTTCCACACTTGGTCTACCAGGTTTTCAGGGATGGACTTGAGGGTGCGATTGCTCGACTCCAGATTGATGGCGTACTCCTCCTGCGTTTCTAATGGAGGAAATTGCAGATGATCACGCACACTGAACTGAATCAATCGCAAGCAAACAGTCTGCGTGGCGTCTGGAGGCTCCATCAATAATTTCCCATCCACTTGAGCGAACGCTTTATTGATGTTAACCTGGACTGACAGGAGGGGCAGAGAAGCGAGACTCACTGAGCGAGAAGAGGAAGGGATCAAAGCCGATCTCGCCACCCGGTGGAACCTCGGAGATGAGCCACTCAGCCAGGCTGCTGATGGACACTGGAGAACATCACACATGACAGACTTGAGTCAAGTTATTAGTGACTTGAGAGAAAGTGACAGAGTAGTTGGAGAAGCAATATTGAAAATAATAGACTTTTTTTTTTTTTTTTTTTGACTTTTTTTTTTTTTTTTAAACCAATAAGATGTGTATTAAATCAAATGAGCACAAACGGCTTGGTAACAAACACTCTATGTCAGTTTCACTAAACTGCAAATTACAGTTTCTATCAACGGGATTATCACAGTACAGGAAACATTAGTACACTTTGGCTCAACACTGAAAGGTTGGAGTGATTACAAACATACATGATTACTTTTACAAGCAGTAAAAGATTTTCTGACTTATTACAGGTTGGTTTTGAGAAACACAACTGGCAGACTAATTGCTACAGTCTAATGGAGCATCACATGCAGTGGTGTAAATACAGTGTGAGACATGTTGTGGGTTTGGTAATTACAATTTTGTGGGCACTTTTAAAATTGCAAATTTGCAATATCTCTAACAGCTTAATGCACTGCCACTGAAAGCTGACATTCTGTAGTTTTAATTTTGTCAATAAATCCCATGAAAAATTCAAAAGTCTTTGTCTGTCTTCCCTAACTGTCTGTGACTTTGATCCTTAAAACCATTTGTTTCTCAGTAATACCCTTAAACAAGTTGTTGCTATAGTTTCCAGCAAATGTCCCTAAAACAGGAGTAATTTGTTGGGGTCCATTTTTTGCAGCACATTACTACAAAGTGCTTAAAAAATAAAGGAAAAACCAACATAGAGCATCTTAGTAAGCATTTGGCCACCTCATGCCACCAGAACATTGATTCTACACGTCTCTGCTGCATTGATGAAACACCATTCTTCTACAAGATGCCTAAATCACAGCTGCTCAAAATGCCTCAGGGGTGTTCAGCTGGGTGGAGATCTGGTGACACTGAAGGCCATAACATGTGATTCGCATCATTTTCATCCTCATCAAACCACTCAGGGACTCCTTGTGCCCCGTGGATGGAGGTATTGTCATCATGGAAGAGATCACTCCCATCAGGATAGAAATGTTTCATCACAGGATAAAGTTGATCACTCAAAACAACTTCGTATTGATTTGCAGTGACTCTTCCCTTTAAGCAGACAAGTGGACCCAAACCTTTGTAACAAAAAGCTACCCACAGCATAACAGAGCCACCAGATCATTTCTCTGGGGCTCAGACTTTCAAGCCTCAACTGTTCTCTTGGTGTTTTTTTCCCGGTAATTTGTCACCTGTCTATGTGTGAAGCTGACACAAACAAAACTACAGTGGACATGTAGGTAATAAAAAAACATTTCTCCCAGTTCCTTGATATGTTTGTAGCAACAACAAAGTTGCATGTGGACACAAAGGATTACGTTGTGTCAGTCTTTGACCACACAGGTGATAAGGATCAGTTATTTCTCCTAATGAGAACATTGTGTTTTTATTACTGTTTGTCTGTCAACAGAATCATACAAAAACCACCAGGCCTATTTTCATGAAATGTGGTGCAGCATAGGCAAAGGAGGAGGCCATTAAATTCTGATTCTAGTTCGGGTTGTAAATCTCATAAAAGACTGGACCATTGTCCTCAGCAGAGGTCTGTGCTTCTTTGTGTCCCTGTGGTTTGTTTTGATATTTTCCTGGGATTTCTTGATGTTAAGAAAAATGTAAACTTTCATCAGATTACTGGTTTAAGAAAACACAAGCAAATAAGAAACAGATTCAACAACTTAACAACCAATACCAATAGGAAGGGGAAACAACTAGAAGAGCACTTGTAAAGTGCAGACTTCCATTAAAACCAACAGTCTGCTCTTCTATGAAGTGCAAATCTGCAACCAATCCAATCATATGTGTTGGGATATTTCTATCAAACAATTCATCAGCACCAACATTTACTGGGTTCTTCCTTTGATCATGCTCCAACTCTCCACTAAGTTTCATTAACATCAGCTTGGTATCAATATTATTATCAATATTTTGCACATTTATGTGTCATAAATTGATGGATGGAGAAGACTCGGTGCAATACCATTATCTTCTACTCATGGAAGAAACAGTGCAATACCAGTGTATCCGTACTTATAGAATAACCCTGTGTAATGTTGTTATTTTCCACACTCACAGGAATCCGTGCAATTCCTAGATTTTCTACACATAAACGAATCTGTACAATGTCATCAGAACTTAAGTATATTTCTACCTTGCATTTTTTTAACCGATGTTATCTGTGTTTTTGCACTATCTCCTTTGCTGATTAAACAAGGTCATTTTCTCTGCTGTGGAGTCAATAAAGGATTATTTTTATCTTATCTCACAAACATACCAACAATCAGTTCTGCCTCCTTGGAGGAGGTAAATAAATACACATGGTAACTTGTATGCAGTGACAGAGTCATAACATAACAGAAGCTCAACATCAGAAACTGAAGAACAGACTATTGTAAGGTTGAAGGGTAAAAGGTTAATAAAGAATGCACAATGCAGTGTTTTTTCATTATGATATTATGAAAATAACCCCGTAAAAATATCAGTTGTGCTGTGACTTGCAGTGTTTTTATATATGCTTGCTGTTTCTGTTTGCAGCATGTTTATTTCTGCAGCATTTGTACTGTCGAGTTTTCAGTGTGTGTTGCAGTGCGTTGAGCTCTCTTTGATGTAATCTTTGACTGACAATAGACATCAGGCAAGTGCTAATTGTGTGCTATGTGTTCCATTAAGCGCTCGGCAGAGGTGTGAAACTCAGCAAGTTCACTGCTAAAAGTGTTTTTGCAAAACACACAAAAGCTGTGACTTTAGCTATTTTTATCATGAAAACCCTGTAATAACATGTGCACCATTCGACGGGCTATTTTTGGAAAACAAAACACAGATATTCAAATGGAATTCATGCAGGCTGCGTTGCCATAACAAGTGAGCGCAATATGATCAGCCCTACCATCTTTTTCCAGCTCCCAGTTGCAGTCCATCTGTCTCTCAGCTTGAACCCAGTAGCGGCTGTCTGTCCACAGAGCGGCCTTGGTCTGAGTAACCACGGCAGTGCCTGGGGAGAGGCAGGACAACAGCTGTGTTACAGAGAGGGCAACAGTGACAGTGAATTACAAACAACTATAAATGTCAGAGTTGACTTAGAACAATACGTGATGAGCCAGCTAATCTTGAAAGGTGTGTGTGCGTGTGTGTGTGTGTGTGTGTGTGTGTGTGTGTGTGGTGGGGGGTGGGGGGAACATAAAAGTGGGAAAGAAACACAAAGGAGATAGCAACCTGGTGATGTGCGGTGGATGTATAATCAGGATTTACATTATCATTCCACTGTTGCAACCTCACATCAGATAGATATACTTAAATAGCAACAGCTGAGGAGACTCCTGCATCTAAATGTCTGACTCCTAATGGAGGCTCAGACAATGTGACTTCTCTTTTCTTTCCATAGGTCTGACCTGGTGTAAACAGCACTTTACGGAGTTGCCATCTGTCTTCCTGTTCTCTCATCCGTGCAACAGCTGAGCGCGGAAATATGCACGATCATTAATTCTGTTCACTGCTATAGCGTGAAAATAGATTTCATGATTTAAGGGTCAAATTGCTATGAGAGGAGGCAACGATGCGGGGAATGAGAGCGATGGAAAACAAATGAACGAGGAGCGGGATGTATGGTGAGGATGTGGGATGAAAGTAGAGGAGCTGCGTGACCGCGGCACTCTGGTGTGGGGAGTTGAGTCATGGGCAGGAGAAGGACAAGGAGGAGGAGGAGGAGGCAGCGAAGATTGTACCTGCGGAGCCTGTAAAACCAGTCATGAAGGCCACTCTGGCATCACGTGGTGCGATGTACTCACTCTGAGACGCAAACAGAAAACACAGACTTAGGCACTAACATATGACCTTAATTAGACTGGATTAACCCTCCTATTATCTTTGGGGTCAATTTGACCCCATTAAATGTTTAACACCTCTAAATAAGTCATTGACATAATTGTTTCAGTTTCATTTAAAGGGATATTTACACATAAACTTGGGCAACAATTTTAGTTAGGAGTTTTCTGGAGGTATAAATTGCTGGGGTCAAATTGAACCCAAGGATTAAAGATGTCAGAAAATTTGAAGGTAATAGGAGGGTTAAATATGATGGACGGCAAGATGTACCAGGTGGGCATCGGTGCCAGGAATAATGTAGCCATGGATGTTCATGGCCCGCATTCGCTGTCGAAGCTCCTGCAGCTGAAGGGTTGTATTTACTGCTGTGCTGGGCAGGTACTGCAACACACAGAGTGAAAAGTCTTCAGATTTAATTAAAAACCAGAGGAGCTGCTGACACATTCATTTCTATTATCTTCCTCTGTAATCATTGACTGCAGAGCATGTGCAGTAATCATTAACACTAACTGTATGAAACTCATGCAACTGTGTGACTTCGTTGAGGTCAAATTTATAACTTACATTTGTAATTTCATGACAAAAGTTGACCCTGCTAGTCATTTTAAAAATCACAGCGTTTCCATTCACAGCTGGATCTTACCGGTGGGATCACAGAGCAGTTCCTCTCAGTTCCCTCATGTGCAACAGCACTGGCAGTGTTTCCTGAAATTAGATGCACAGACAGCAGTGAAAGACCTTGGAAAATGACATAAAGGAGTGACTGAACTGAACTACATAAGCACATTTTCAGATCAGTGTAAGCCGATGCTCTTTTTTTTAGGGGGGGAGGTGGACTTTTTTTTGTTGGCTCTTTTCAGACACGGTTACTGTCAGACTAATATGTGTGATCAATGTGACTCAAAGCTCAGGATATATGAGGACAACAGTCAAAGTAAAGGAGACCGGACAAGCAGAGATTGTATCAGTTGCATTAGCCACAACTCATTCAATAAAAGTAACCAGCCAAGATAGAGTACTTCAGTCATGTCCATGCTCACAACTGATCTGTTGAACATGAAGAAAATGCAGTGGAGAGCACAAACTGAGCTGTTATCACCTTCTAATACTAATTTTATGCCAACAAATCCTGATGCGTAAAGCAGCAGACTCGGCAAGAGCAGATGGCAATTTCTTATGCCTGCTTTGCTCTTCTCTGGGTGTTTCTAATTAAACACATACATGCAATCAAACTGATTTCAACTGCAAACCAGATTCGTCCTACAACAGAAACTCCCACATGTGACCTGCTCTCACATTTATCACAGACTCTGCAATCATCACACACAAGCAGAAATATTGATGGTCACAGTGGCTCAATAAAAGTCTTCACACGGAGAGCAGAGACAGATCAGTGAGGATAAGGAGAAACTTTTTTTTTTTTCTTACCTGCCAGTGCTGCCAGAGTCAGAGCCAGCAGCAAGCCATAGGAAGGCATCTTGGCACTATGAGTCCGTCACGAGCAGGTCCGCTCACAGAGTGGCTGCTGATTCGATGTACATGCAGCGTATGTGAGAAAGTGTGTGTGGGTGTCTTGTGAGAAAGTGTGCGTGGGTGTCTGCGATTAAGTGTACGACTGTCCTCTCTCTCTCTCTCTCTCTCTCTCTCTCTCTCTCTCCTCCTCCTCTTCTGCCACCACTCACTATCTCCTCTCTTATGGCCCTTCCTGATAGGAATTATGTGCTTTGGGAGTGGATCTTAGTGCTCAGAAATCTTTGCATCCTGACCTAAAATATGTGTCAAGCCACAATGTCCACCCACCTGTGTTTCCCTTCCCCTCCATCTGACTCATCACAATCTTTTTTTTTTTTTTTTGTATTATAGTCACATTAAAAAGCCAGAAATTCCCACGAAGATGCACGATCATTTCGCACGTGTTTTTGATCAAATACTGTTGTCGCTGTAATTGTAAGTTGAGAGATGCCTGTTCTGCAGTCAAAGAAGAAGTATCACATTGCCCAACACGGATAAAGCAGATTATATAGAGAGCACGATGGACTTTGTGTGTGATACGAGCGTATTTATGTGTGGACAGATAATGAAGGAATGCACAAGTGTCTGTGTCTGCAGATCCCCAGATTACAGGCTACTCCTTGTAATTCTGCAGAGATTTCCATAGAAAGCGTTTGTGCTTTTGATATTTTTAAATCCTTGAATTCACGCCAAATGTATAACTGCCACTTAGCTGAAAGAAGGCAGAGGAGGAGGAAGAGGAGGGAGAGTGTCTGACCAGGAGATTTATTACAGCAGCAATACATATTCTGTCTTCAGACATCTTTATCTTATTTTATTTTCCTGGATAATTATTATTTTTTTCTTACCTCATTTAATTCGGCGCCACTTTACACAGGGTTTGACATTTATGCAAATACGCTAATTGCCTTTCTTGTCTAGAGTGAGATAACAAGATCGACTCCCTCTCTCACCTGTCAGTTCAAAATGGAGCTACAGGCTGTAACTGGTTGACTTGGCTTATCAGGAGGACTGCAAAAAGGGAGAAACAGCCTGTGTGGGTCCACATGAAGAAAACAGAATTCACCTTCCAGCAGCCTTCAAAGCTCACTAAAACATTGCATTATCATTTAAGTGCTTCCAGTTGTCACTGTGAGGTTGCAGAGACTGGATGATGCGCTGGCCAAAGAAATAATGATACGTTTGGAGAGAGCGTGGCTTGGTTTTTGCCCCTGTCTATATGCTAAGTGAACTGGGAGAATACCATCTGTGGTGCTGCAGTTGTGGTATCAATCTTCAAATTTTCAGCAAGAACAAAAATTATTTTGCCAAAAACTTAAACTACTTTTATTGCATTTTACTTTAATTAGTGTGAAATTTGTTGCCTCGTGTGATGAGCTACAAATAAAGTGTAACATTCTTCTTATTACAAGAACAGACAGGACACTCATTAGATCACTGGGCCAATTAGTCAGTACTCAGCAGCTGCTAAACCTCTATAGAGCCTCAGAGCAGTATGTAATGGCAGGTTCATTAATCTGGTGTGTCTGATTTATGCACATACATCCTGTGATTTACTGACATTGCAACTACCTGATGTGAATACGTTTCTATTAGAGCAAGAAGTCCACAGTGCACTGGGGTCTAGTGGCTTTGAACATGACTTCAAAACCTGGCAGACCTTCAGACCACAGTGTGATGGAATAAGACATAGGCTGTGATATAACATGGATAACATACAGTGATCAAAGAGCAGCGTCTCTTCTCAGTAGGCTACCAAGGTGTCTGTAGGCCTCAAAATCTGAGAATATGAAAGGAAATTGTAAAGCTGATTAGGTATCAAATTCCCCTTCAATTTAAAATCGCCCCTGTCTTCAGCCTCTGGGATGAGATTGGCTAAACCCTTTAATTAAAAACAAGAACAGGTCCTCGTGTTTTGAATGAACAATTAGAGGCTCTAATGTCCTATATTATTGTAAAACACAACTGTACTCAGTGTACAGCGTACAGCGATGCTTTATGCGTAACGCTACCGGCATGCTAACGTAATGATTAGCAGGTACAGCACCTATATAAGGTATTCACTCCCCTTCAAAGTTTTCCCTTCAGTTTTGCTTTTCAAAACCAAATCAGGGTCAATATTTTTTTTTTTCTTTTTTTGGCCAAGAATGTGTAAAATACAGAATACAGATTTCTACAAAGTAATGTTAATTCATTACACCATGAAGCACGGTGGTGGCAGCATCATAATTTGGGGATGCTTTTCGACAGTAGGTCTTGGAAGGTGTGTAACGGTAAAGGGGAAAAGGGAATACAGTAAAGTATAGGAAAGTCCTGTAGGACAACTTGATGCAGTCAGCAAGAGAACTGTGACTTGGGAGAGATTTGTTCCCACCGAGACTGACTTGAAGCATACAGTCAAAGCTACACAGAAATGGTTTAAAGACAACAAGGTGAATGTTCTAAAATTGCTGACTCCGGGCCCAGAACTCATTTCAAGTGAGATTTGTGAATGAACTTGAAAGGGGCTGTTTCTTCCTCATGCACCTTGGCAGAGCTTGAGCAGTTTTGCAAAGAAGAATGAGTTAATCACTTAAAAAAAACAAACAAACAAAAAAACATTTTACATCTTTAATTATTTGCAATTACTTTGTAGAAATTTATTTTCAGTTTGACATGAAAAAAAAAAGCTAAAATAAATTGACTATGACTCAGTGTTGAAAAACAGTATAAGGGAAAACGTTCAAGGGGGGTGAATACATTATAAAGGCAAAGTGTAATGTGTTAATATCATGTTTGCTAATTCGTAGTGTCATCACTTTTGCAGGCATTTGGTCATACGGATGAAAAATTATTATCCTGAATACAAAATGAATCTATTCAGAGGTTGTTGAGATATTTTACTTACAGCTACATATGTGAACATGTTGGTGGTGAAAGAGGAAAAAGTCATTGAATCACAAATGTCAGTAGGATCATGGGGATCATAAGTAGCTGGACAAAATTTTATGGACCAATAGCTGTTAAAATATTTCAGTTACAATCGTGCTTTGTTGACACTATGGCGAGTCAGTCTGATTAGAAAGAGATTTCTGTGTTTTAAAAAAGAAAACAAAACACATACACAAACCATAAATATTACTCAAATTATGTGTACTTTATGATTTACGTTAAAAATTAGTGCTGCATGAAAAACAACTCTTTCTGTCTAACTTCTGTGCTGCAACAGCAGAGAACCATAAATCAGTGTACTTTTACAGTGTCACCCTCAAAGCAGATTAAACAGTATTTTTAGATATCATGTGACCCAGATATGAAGTTAGACATTTTATTATCTGCGAACCATCTGATGAATTTTAATCAGTGTGCGAGCCACACAGGAAATCTGAAAAGCCTTTTAAATCAAATTATACATGACTCAGTGTAGCTATTTTATAAAAGAATGTCAAGTCTCTAATCACAAAAATACAAAGGATTGACTCTCTCATTCTAAGAAGGTAGAGTGGACAGAGAGAAAACCGCTGTAGGTGCATTGTGGCCTGCAGTTCGTCACGTTTTACATTTTGGCATAAGCCTGACTGACTTTGACGGTGACCCGAGAGAGATTTGCCCAAAGGGCTTCAGCAGCTCCTTTGAAAAGTGGGAATCACAGTCCAATGGTAGCGTAGTCAATAATTCCAACAAGCTTCTATGCACTGCAGTCCTAGTGGAAGACTTTTTAAAATGCAAAGTTATGTGGCAGTGATTTGCATCCACATTAATATTTCTTGAAAGTTCTTGTAGAGACCTCAGCTAATACAGTGACAACATGAAGCTCTTCTTCTTTGCCCTCTTTTCAGCTGGCAAACAACAAAACGGCATCACATTCAACATTTCTTAATTTTAGGAGTGAAACAGACATTCCTTCAGGCAAAATCATTATTCCGTGGTTGCAATGCTGTCTGACTACACAGAAATGTAGGTTAATGGTACCAGCTGTGCTCAATGATCGGCCGCGCTGACTTGTAAACAGGTTGATTACAGACAAAAGTTAAAAATGAGGATGCTTCAGTGTGGACGAGAGAAACCAACATTTTAATCGACTTAACATGGGCGCAATCAAAGATCCATCCATCCATTATCTATACACCGCTTAATCCTCACTAGGATCACGGCGGGCTGGAGCCTATCCCAGGTGACTCAGGGTGATGGCAGGGGACACCCTGGACAGGTCACCAGTCTATCACAGGGCTACACTTAGAGACAGACAACCAAGCACACTCACATTTACACCTACGAACAGTTTAGAATCACCAGCTAACATCAACGTTTTTTTGGACTGTGTGGGAGGAAGCCGGAGAACCCGGAGAGAACCGAGAACAGAAAGATCCTGGGTATCCTCACCGGTATGCGAACCGGCGACCTTCTTGCTGCGAGGCAACGGTCCTAACCACTGCTTCACCTTGCAGTCCGCGATCAAAGATGATTTTATTAAAAAAGAGAAGATGGCAGATAGGTTGCTTTGGGTGCACTTTGTTACATTTTATACTTTGACATGAGCCTGACTGACTTCAGTTCAGACTTTCGATCAGGCTTTAACCTCTGAGTTTTTCCACTATACATCTTCTGTGTGAATAGTGAGTGGACAGGTGTCATTCCAGTGCCAGGCAGGGTTGTGTTGATAGAGCAGGGCTCTGAACACCAGCGCAAATGTTATTCACACATGTTCCACTGACCGAGGCTGTTGATCCCACAACATTTTCCCTGCTCAGATAGGGATATATAAAATAATCTAAGATCATCCTGGGGCTGCTTAAACTACGTTTCAAGACATGAAGGGATCAAGAGTCGTGGTAAGGGCTTTGCAAATAATCTTTGATTTACAGCAGTTTAAGTGTCTGACCCAAGCCCAGGTTTCACACACACAGACTTCGAGATTCACGAGTGCTTGAGGGCTGTCACAAAGTCAAATCAAAAAGTGCGTAAGGTCTCGGATACTGTCTTTTCAATGCTATTATGTGCCCTTTCCTTTGAACCTGCTATAGTTCATACATGTGAAACTGGTGATGTGTAACTGTGGTTGCCCTGCTTCACAAA